TAATGCAGGATTTCCCTTATAGGTTCAAATATTTCACTTGACCAGCTCCTTCAGAAAATGGATCGCCTGTACTGGAAATCTTTCACTCCTGCAGCCTTTGTTTTCTCCGCAACTCAGAAGGTATGTTTCATTATGAAGCACGAAGGGCCCTACCAACTCCTCTGAGTGATTTAAGATTGTGAAAGTGTTTTCTGTTATCTAAGAGCCAAAAGAAAGACCATACAACCGTGGGATCTAAATTAGGCCAAAAGAAGCTTAATAAATCAGACTCCTCTGGAGAACTTCTGACTCTCCAGGGGCCTTGACAACAGACAGCAAGAAGATAAAGATCACAAAATAGAATAAGATTATTCTTGTAAATCCTATTCTAAAATGCCCTACATAAAAACTACTTACTGTAATCTCAACATAAAGAATTCACTACTTTTAAAGATTCTTTTCAGAAAGGAAACATTAAAATACTCTTATATATTGAATCTTCTTTTTTTTTTTTCCTTTTTTTCTTTTTTTTTTTTTTTTTTTTTTTTTTCAAATTGCAGACAAACATACAGTATCTGCATAATGGAAACAAAGCACAATTAAAATCACACAGCCGTATTCTGCATGTGCTTTGTAAAATTGTAGTTTAGCCTTACCATTTCCAGCAGTGCATTGCAGAGTCATGGAACAAGAAACTATGTCCTCACCATAGAGGTGAAATTGATTCTCACATATTTGAGAGAAAGCCAAGATTCATCCTCAAAAAAACTAACCCTGTTTAAAGTCAGTGTGTTTAGTATTTTTTTCTTCTACTAATACTGAGTCAGCTTTCAGTGAGCAGTCATGTTGCTTAGGTTGAGGAATAGAATGAGTGGAGAGGAATACCTCCATACCCAGAGAGTGGTGGTCAGTGGCTCAGTGTTTGGATGGAGATCAGTGACAAGTGGTGTTCCTCAGGGGTCTGTACTGGGGGCGGTTCTCTTTAATATCTATATCACTTACATCAACAGTGGGATCGAGTGCACCCTCTGCAAGTGGATGACACCAACCTGCAGTCGACACACTCAATGTACAGAATGCCAGCCACATAGATCTAAACAGGCTTGAGCAGTGGATCCAGGAGAACCTCACAAAGTTCAACAAATCCAAGTACACAGACTTGCAACTGTGTCAAAGCAACCCCCATTATCCTTACAAACTGGGGGATGAAAGGACAGAGCACAGCCCTGCTGACTTGCGGGTACTAGTGGATGGCAAGCTGGACGTGAGCCAGCAATCTGCCCTTGCAGCCCAGAAAGCTAGTAGTATCCTGGGTTGCATCAAAAGAAGCATAGCCAGCAGGTCGAGGGAAGTGATCTTGCCCTTCTGTTTTGCGCTGGTGAGGCCTCACCTGGAGTACTGCACCAAGATGTAGAGTCCTCAATACAGGAGAGACATAGGCCTGTCGGAGCACATTCAGAGGAGGGCCATAAAAATGATCCAAAGCATGGAACAGCTCTCCTATGAGGACAGGCCGAAAGAGCTGGGGCAGTTCAGCCAGGGACACCTGATAGCAGCCTTTCAGTATCTAAAGGGGAGCTACAAGAAAGAAGGGGACAGACTCTTTAGTAGGCTCTGTTGTGGTTGGACAAGGGGAAATGGTCTCAAACTAAGAGAGGAAATTTAGATTGGATATAAAGAAGTTTTTTTTACAATAAGGGCACTGGAATAGGTTTCCCAGAGAGGTGGTAGATATGTCCTGGAGACATTCAAAGTCAGGCTGGGGCTCTGAGCAAATTGCTCTGAGCAATTTGATCAAGCTGTAGGTGTCCCTATTCATTGCAGGGGAGTTAGACGAGGCGACATTTTAGGATCCCTTCCAACTCAAACGATTCTATGATTCTATGATTTTTTATCTGGCAGTGGGTCCACAGACATGGTAATGCATGTTTCAGACACATTTCCCCTATGAGGAACTTGATCTGAGCACCCTCACATCTGCCAGTGCGAGGACCCAAGATACACTGGACATTCAGCAGGAACAGCGCTCAGATTTATAAGGGCATGTAACAACTGGACAAGGGAAAATGGTTTTAAACTGAAAGAGGATAGATTTAGACTAGATAGTAGGAAGAAATTCTTTACTGTGAAGGTGGTGAGACACTGGAACAGGTTACCCAGCAAAATTGTGGATGCCCCCTTTCTGGAAGCATTCAATATCACAGTTCCTTCTGTGAAGTTAAATGATAAAGCCCCCAGGTGGCTGTTAAAAAGGACTAGGTAAAATATAGATGCATTTCCAACACTGACAAAAATCAAGATGGGAAGCCAATAAGGCAAATATACATGGAGAGAGGAATGAGCTAGTGGAGAGACTGCTAAGGACAGAGGTAGCAGGAAGTCTCTTCTCCCCAGCTGTTGCAGCTTCAGATAGACAGTTTTATAAGGATATGTACAGGTTGGGTAAGGTAACACTCTAGATAACCTCATACTTTTTAACCAAAGGGTATCATTCAAAAAGCAGTTAGTTTGTAATGGTGCAGAAAGCAACCTACTCACAGCTTCACCAGCAGCTACTGTGTAAAACACTTCACCTTCACTACAATTAAGTCATTCAGAAAAAGAAAAAAGAGTTGGTGTAATTTAAGATTTACCTCCAAAGCAAACAATTATACATTACTATAGAAATATTTGGTTATTTGCTGAAAACGTGAACATGCTTCCTTTGCCTTGAAGTGTATTTTTTCATAAATGTCAGAGTATTTATGTATCAGCAGGAAAATTGTCCTGTGAAAAGGCATATTTGTCATGACATGACCTTGCAAATGACACCTTGCATGACATCAGATTTTATTCCTGGCTGGCTGGCTGGCTGCTAGAAAGCTAACATTAAAACAGTGCTCTTTTTAAGATTATTCTTGAATAAAAAGGTGACTTTTATAATTGTAAGGCTATTGAGAAACAAACAGCCTGTTTAAAAAGAAGTTAAAATGTGGCACATGATTAATGACAGGTTGGTCAAGTGTCATCTAACAGCTTCTGATAATAACATTAAATCCTTTTCATTCTTTTTTTTAATGTCAAATTAAAATCATCCTACTACAAGCCCACGTACATCATGTGTGTTTTTACCTCTTCACTTCAGCATTCAGTTTTACTAAACTATTTAGTTTGTTTTTAGCATTTAAATACCACAGGAAGTTATTAGACCATAGAACGCACCTTAGTACATATGATCTACTAATTAAACACAGATTAATTATTTCTGCATTTATAGCCTTGACTAGTAACAACAAGCTGACCTTCATGTCTCTTCCATACTCAACACAAAGAACTGTCTGGGGTGCTTGTTTATTCCCTTAGAAGTGCTCTCTCTGAACAACCCCCCAAGCTTTGGCTCTCTCACAGCTCAGGGAAAGGTACTGGCTGCCCTCACAGCAACATTCTTGACTTCTCAATGCCTGGATTTGCAAATAACTCTGCATGTCCTACAAATACAGGAGCTTAGGCTGAATAGACCAAAGAAAGATGCCTCTCAGCTCATCACTTGGCTTTAGTTATTTCCTCAACTTCCAGCAGCATGAGCCAAAAGCTCCTTGACGTACAAGAAGCAAGCAGGGCTTAGTAAACACCAATAGCAGATTCCTCCAGCCAAAACACAAAATGCTCTTGAATACCATGAAAGAACCATATGTCACCTTTGTATACTAAGAGAATATTATGGGAATATAGTACAAAATTGCAAATAAACTGTATATTCACATCTCAGCTAAACACACACATTTTCTATGTGTTAATGTACAAGCTGAGCTAAAAAGCATTTGAGTTGGTACAGTCTACTGTTCCTTTTGTGCTTCAGGAGTATTAAAAGTAGAAGAACTAACAGTTTAAGGTGGGAACAGAAGAGGGAGGCACCGCACCCCAGTAACCCACACGAGGATCAGTACTCAGCTCTTCTCCAGGCTGGGCCCTCCATCTCGCTTTCTTCTGCACAAAAGCTGGATGCTTTACACTGTGGTTCTGGTGCCAAGTCCTGCTCATCAGTTCAATCACCCACTTTCCTTCTTCTTCAGAATTTACCATAACCTAGGGACTGCCCTAGCCCTGGCCCTAGCACAGCAGCCCAGTCTCTGTGTACCTCCTGAGCTCCTCCCCATGAGAACCGCCCCATGGTCACCACAGTTACACAAATAAAGGCATTTCCAGTTTAGCAAACTTCATTATTTTTAAGTCTTGTCAAGTGCTTCTTCCTCCTGACGTAACTAATAGAAAATTCCAGGAAATCATTCATAAAACTGAGGAAAATATGAGTGGATGTTTGGTCTGGCTGGAGGCGCAAACAGAGCAACCAGGCAGGACGATCCTGGAAGACACACCGGGATGCTGCTCCAAGCTTTCAGAACTCTATTTTGTCATAGATTTTAATTCAGGATATGCGATTTTCCTGTCACCTAAGTCATGGCATTTTGCCCATATCTGGCTTGGTGGGAGGATGATGAGACGAATGCCCGTGCTACAGCCTAGACCTCCTGCCTGCTAACGCCACTGCCAGCCCACAGGGCCCAGCACAGGAATGTGTGGCTGTTGGAACACCGCACTGCTTCTCAGGTTGAAGAGCAGAGAATAAAAGGAGAATAAAGCAGGTCAGTGCTAAGGTCTACTCTTATCTCCCAGGCTGTGCCATGTTTATTTGCTCCGCAAAATTTTCATAGCAAAAGTTTTCTGCTACTCTGTGTCCGTAAAACCTCTTGGCTAAGGCTCACCACATAGCAGTACCAGGAATACCAATACAGCATTACTCATCCTCGTCATTTCTAGCAATACCACTACCAGAGAAGTGTTTATTTCACACATGTAAAATAGATTTCCAAAACAAATGATTTAAACACATATTATTATTCTTATTTTAATACTGTGCTGATTAAGGAAAAAAAAAAAAAAAAAAAGCCCTTTAAATAATAATGCAGTAAAACCATACTATTATGCTTTTAAAATTCTATATTGAAAGCTATCAGAAATAAGTGCTAGAAATATTCACGTACCTACCAGCATTCTTGTCATTGGGCACATAGTTTGTGTTGTCTGGAGACTAATCCTGCTTATTGTTTTCCTGCCCACTTTCTCTCATGAGCCTGCACTGCTTCCCCATGTTCTTTCCTACTCCAGATAATAACAGTTTCCTTTCAGCTTCCTCCTCTTTCTACCTTTACGACCACTTCGAGGATCGTGCCTTTACCCTCTGGCTCACCTTCACGCTGCCAGTGTTGTTTGTGTGATTGCTCCGAGGAGAATTCCCTTTGCTGCAGCTTCCTGTTGCTATGTGACCTCTGTGCTGATGTTCTGCTCCACTGTGCTGTGCGCGCCACACCATGCCAGGTCATACTGTGCCATTCTATGCTGTGCCATGCCGTGCCGAGCCATGCCATGCTGCGTTGCTTGGCCCTGCACACCTGCACAGCCCTGTGCACCCTGCTCTTCTCCTGCACTCTCCAGGGCTCAGCTTTGTCCCCAGCACTTTGGGAAGCTGAGTCACTGAGAGTGGACTGCGTAATTCCAAGGTGTGATGCAGTTCATATGAAAACCAAAGCTGTGCTTGTAAAGAATGGAAGACACCACAGGAATAAAGCCACCTCCCAGACTGAAAGCAAAGCTCTTTTAAGGCTGTTTTTTGCATAACTGCCTGTAATGCTTTGTATAGTAAATTTAAGTAAGAATAAATGCTATTATGTGAAACTGTAACACCCTCCATGTCACACAAGCTTTGAATTACGTGCTGAAAGTTCCAATTGCAACCACTTGAGCAACAGGAGGGTAACTACAAAGTGGCTGGCAGCAGCAAGAGGCCTGGTTTGGTTGCTGGGAGTGAAGTCACGTTAGCAGAGGGCTGCCAGAGTTCCCCAGCTTGGCTGCAAGGCAGAGCTCAGCTCACAGCTCAGCTTCTGCTGCAGGTTTATCCTAGGTTCTGACGGGTGCCTCAGCAGCACTGCGCTCCCTGCAGGGACAGCCGGTGGGCACATGGTGATGGTATCACTGCTGCCTGTTTCCGTAGGAACCTCATGCAGCAGTGAGGGTAAAAACACGTGGTGAGAGAAAAGTGCATTCAAATAATGCAGCTTCACACACCCACACTCAAAAAAGGAAAATATTTATAAACAATTCTGCCTTTATTTATAAAGTTTCCATGGTTCTGCTTCGGCAAATTCCATTGTGCTTTCCCTGAGACAGTTCTTACACTGCACTTATTCTCTGCCTTTAATTTCTCAGAAAGGAAACACAATTTCATTCAGAGGCTCATCAAGGAAGATCTAATACATTTTAAGGCTGGATATTAGAAGGGACAAAACAGTGACACAGAAGGCCCCATGTCTATGCCACAACATCTTGAGGCACTGCTGTATCAGGTAACACTACCTCCTCCAGTTTGGCTGTGGGCATTGAGGCTACTGCATGGAAGAGAGGTAGAACTGGTCAATCAGTTTCCCTGAACAACAAAGGAAGAGGAGCGTTGCATCCCACAAGAACTAGTCTGGTCCTGTGCAGACTTATTCTTGTATGTAGCACGCATTTAATGTGTAGGGCAGTGTTTCTATCTGCTCTTTGAACATCATTTCTACTGATTTGCATTGCTGTTATGTAGGAAATGGTGTCAAGCTGCAGGACATTCCCTGCAGATTAATAGTGGAATAGGAGCAAATGCTAGTTTATAAGTAAGATGAAGGATATTAACTCAAAACAGTCAGTAAATTCTTAGGAAGTGTCCTGATCTCTGTTGTTTATTGCTATTAAAAATGTGGAAAAAAATCCCATGCATTTTTTCTCTATGACATAGCCACCACTGGTATACCAAATATATATTAGCAAGTCCTTTGGCTCTCCCTCAGCACTGTAGTCATCATAATTTGTTATTTTGAGGAAAAGATGTACAGATGTGCTGGGAGGACTGGGGGAAGGAAATCATTAGTTCTTGAAAGCTGCACTCAGAGATTGAGGTTCAGTTTTTTCATTTTCTGAAAAGTCTTCGCATCCCCTAGCTTCAGTTTTTAATTTTTATTGTCATTTCAAACTTTAGACACCAGTTCTCTGAGCCATTTACTTCATCCTTTCCCTTGGAAAACTCCTATTTCTTTTATCTCTAAAGATTCACCAGAATACAGCTATATGGTATTTGTGTGACATACAAATGTGCACAGGAGGAAATGAGAGCGGAAATACATCAGTCTTTGAAAAATACGTTTACTGGACTCATAACCAGGAAGCAGCTATGAATGTATGTGGTAATGGACAAAACTAAACGTTTGCTATTAAAGGGATTTAAAAAGGGGAAGAGCATATGAGGCAGGTAATTACATCTGCTTATTACTTACAGCTTTTACTGAGATCTTTGCCTTACAAATGCTTGTCCCCTGTGCATTTCACCTCGGTATACATTCCTCCTATCACTAACCTTTATGGACACTTTATTGACACACTTTTAAGAGCATCTCAGAAAAGGCTTTGGCTTGTGTGAGGGCTACTAAGATTTCAGTACTTTATATCCTTGTTCCTCACAAGACATCACTACACAAACTGTTCCAAAGAATGCTTACAGGACCACTCTGATGCTCATAAATCTAAAGATTACTGTTGGAAAAATTAACCTATGAAGACTCTAAGCAATACAAATTAAACATGGTAGAGGAATGTTTTAACAAATGCCTTCCGACCAACAGCCCATCTATACTTTAAAGATAGAACAGCCCAGGTTGGAAGGGACCTCAAGGGTCATGAATCTCCAGATTCAGTTCAAAGATAATGCTATCATATTTCCATCAGAGTCAGCAGTAGATGCAATCATCTTCAAATACAATCCTTTGCCTTGTGGCAGACTCTTGAAAAGGAGATGGAGGCATAACCAATGCCTGACATGACCAAGAGGACAATGAAGGCTCTGCATAGTCCAGCCTCATTTTAGGTAACAGTGATGCACACTGGAAAATATTTTCTCTTTAAAAACTTTGTAGCAACATTTTTAGATTCAAAACAAATGATAGAACTATTTTAATAGATCAACTTTAGTTACAGTGCCAGGGAGAACTGATGAATTTAACAGACATGATACTGTCATTTAGAGAGGGGCCCAAATTGCAATATATGACACACTTTCTGTCTTTTTCTTTAATCCCCTTTTCTACTCTCTCAGCACTGCTCACAAAAGTTAAGTAATTTACTGACAATGAAATTTGATTTTCTACATAGCATTTCCTGGACATTCCTAAGGGTTTAGTAAATCAGAAGTTAAAAATTATTGATATCTCCCTCTGTCGAGGCCTTGCATAAGACAAGACCACCTTTGCTGCACAGTTCCTCATGATTTCTTTTAATAATTGCTAGCCTATGTGAAGAAGCTCCCGTAAGCTGGAAAGTGATGCCCATCAGCCCTGCCACCGCCCTTAATATCCACATAATTCTCTTTATCTCCTTTGCAGAAGGCCACTGTTTTTGCCATGCCATGCCACACTGATAAGGCAGGCCAAGTAACACACCAGCCTGAAGCAGCAGTTTACTTTCCTCTTCAAATCTACATTCTCTGGGGTTTTTTTTTGCACAAGAGATCCTTTCTGCCATTATTACTCCATTTATGAGCTTCTCAAGGACGGCTAGGAAAGCACTGGGAGTTAACAGATACCCTATCTACTGTGAGTTTTCACTCATATTAGTTGCCTGGTCTGGTCTGTTCATTAAGATCACTGACCTCATAACATCTGAAAAGTTTCTGGGAGTCAACACTACCTAACACTAGTAATTCCAGAAAAAGGCTTTATGAACTCTCAAATGAAATGCTTTGCTAAAGCAGACCAAACAGCTTCCAAGTCCTGTCAGCTCCAGACATGGAGCAACTGCCTATTTTGCAGATAGGCTTCTCTGTACTGTGAATCTTTTGAGAAGGACTTGATCTCACTGAGCAGCCATCTTATTGTGACTTGTGCAGCTTAACAACTCACCTTTCTTAGGTACTATCTGCAGAATCGACTTCCCTCATTCTTTATTTAAGAATTGTTTTTCTTTCTGTGCATTACATAACACACGTGACTTTCTGAACAGCTCCTCCTTCTATGCATCATCTTGTATTACAGAGCCATGCACTCTCTACACCTTGTTTTCCTGAGACTTCTGGCCAGTGCTCTTGACTTCCTCCAGTAAAATGCAATCCTCATCACTCTCATGAATGCAAATTTTGAATATTTTGAATGCTGGATAAATTTTGAATGTTTCGAATATCTTCCTGAAACCAACAAAGACAGCATTGATGATCTCAAGCCTGCCTGGCAATACTTCCTTCTTTGTCCTCATTATTTTGAATACCTCTCTCAGCTTGCATATCTAAAGATAATTCTGCAATTTTAAAGTTCCTGACAGATTGGTTTATTTTCACTTTAGCCGTTTGCTCAAGTTTTCTGCAATGTTTTTAAGGGTTTCCCTGCTCATTATGTGTATGACTATTTAGTATCCCACTGCATTTTCACAGGCCAGGATATCTTCTAATATCAATACACAAATATTTCTTGGAAACTGCTCTTCAGACCCTTGCCTCATAACAATTTCTTGAACCATGCAGACAACAGGAGAGGATTTCATATATGTTAAGTACACGATGGACACAGAATAGCCATCCCCTGCGATGCCCTAGTACCTTTTCAAGATCTTTAAAAAGGGAATCTGCATTTGGCAGTCACCTGGGTTTAGGAGAACACACTGCTTATCAAATCCAAATTTCATTAATTTATAGAAAAATTAATAATAGAAAAGCAAAACTCATAGGCATTAGACAAGAAAGAAATATATATTTTTTTCTCTATATAATATTACTCCGTAAAAACTTTGCAGAAGCATCTAGTTCAGAACATACATGAGTTTAATGAGAAGTATAACAAAAAAATCTAATCTTAACTTACACACTTTATCATTAAATAAACATGGTGTGAATTAGATGAGCACTGGGCAGGCAGACAAGTGCAGAATTGTATGGCTAACCAAATGCATTATTTATCAGCTAGTAGAGCTTCTGTAATACAATCCTGTACATTGACTTATTTATGAGGTGCAGGAAGAAAGAAACTGAACTAGTGTATGAACAAAATACGGTTTTATATTCTGCTAATATGCAAACTAAAAATAAAACTAACAGATATGAGCCAAAGCGAGGCCATGATGTTCTATCCACACTTTAAGAAATATTAACGCAAATATGTCAAAACAAATGAAGGCAGGCACTTATAATAACCGAGAAAGATGACACCAAGCTTCTGGTTTCTCAAGCCACCAAAGAGCTTGTGCATTACAGGCAGGACTGAGAGCTTCCCTTTATGTGAAACTCATCCTCCTCCTAAGCACTGATGGCAAACCATTCCCATCACTGCCAAGCTTGGCACACATAGAGATTTGGGTTGGCATTGCTAAGACTAAACTACAATAATCCTTTAAATTAAAATTTGTCACACGACACCAGGAAGGACTCAGAATGCAAAATCCTTTCTCCACACTTCTCTGTCCTCTTGGCCCTGCTGGCAGTGCCAGTGGTGATGCCCATCAGTGCCTATTCTTACTGTAGTCTCTCTGACATCAACCTTTTTTCAGAATCACAGGAGGCAATGGAGACAAACTAGGATTGAAAAATATCCTCTCACTTCTTTAAATCAGAGTCAGAGTGCTGGTACAGTATCAGTAACTCCTGGAGAACAGCTCTCTGGCACCCCACTGTCTGGAGTTGAATTTCTAATCCCGTAATTGAAGTACCTAAGATTGCCTTGCACAGTTCACTGACATGCAGAGCAATACCCAAAGGCTACACTTTTCTCCCACTTTAACTAAGAAATGGAAATTAGTTCTTATTACTGACACTGCCTTCATAAGACTCTGGATCTTGTGGTTCTTCATATGAAGAACAGGAATCTTTTTGTGTCTTTATAAGCCATTGCACATCCAGTTACTGATATTTTAAGTTGGGGCAACTGTTTAGGATAGCATTCTAGTTTGCTTAACTTTAGGCAGAATTAATTTTTAAACCGACAGCGCCAACAAAGAAATTCAAAGTGTCACTGATGAGCATACAGCTAAATAAATTATTTTCTCGATTACTTGTTTCATACACTGAACTATAGTAATTTTGACTTTCATTTTCTTGCATTTTTTAGTTTTCAAGTTAGCAGCCTTCTTGCATTTTCTTAATCTCACTCTTTCCAGAAGTGATGATTGAAGTTTTGCATGAGTAAGCTGAAATTTAAAAACTGAAGATCAGAGACGTGTTAAAATAAGAAAACTTTTTGGATGAGGGGAGAGAAGAGAATAGAAGGTATTCTATCAGTTGTAAGGAGTGAGGGCATGTAACATAAATGGTTTCCTAAATGTTCAGACACTGAGGAAAACTGAGTGCAAAGAAGCTACTGAGGCTCTCTGCTGTAACGTGGCCTGAAAAGAACAGTCTTTATGACTTGCTCTGCTTTGGCAAACTTCCCATATAACCAGCAAAACAACTGCCTAGCAACCCAGTCTTTCCCACAACATTTCCTCACACACATTGTACACCCAAAAAAAGTAAAGCACCTAATATTCTCTCTGGATAATCCCCTTATTTTAGAACTATATTTAGTTCTTTGTACACATTTGAGCTCTAGCTAACAGGGCAATTGCTGTCGTGACAGACACTGCAGGCAAAGTCAAACTAGTCCTATCTGTGCCGCAAGCTGTGTACTAACTGTGCACCCAGAGCAGGTTATCTGTGCATCAGACAGACAGCAAGCTTGCTGCTTCCCTCCACCGTGTTTCCCCTAACAAAGGCAGGAAGCCATGACTGCTAGCAAAAAATGTACAAATATCCTTTCTATTGAAAAATCTGTTTTGTGAACAGAAAGGGAGGTCTCCAGCTTGCACTTCACAAGGCTGGGGAAGTCCATGTGAAGACATAAATAGTTCAGTAATTTAAAATACATGCTGGTTTGAACATGTGAAACACTTTTTTTTTTTCCATTTAGTGCCTTTAAGAAACACTTACAGTCATACAGTAGATATACTAGTGGTTATATTTTCTTATGTGACAACTCAGCTGCAGCAGCATCTTGCAACTGAATATTTAAGCTGTTTTCCCTCGCAGTTTCAGCAAGAGATGCCTTTAACCTTCTACAGCTGATCCTGAGCAACATACAGATAGGACTGCTGAAAATCCCAATCTGCCCCTATGTTACGTGGAAGCACAGGTCTTCTCGTCCCTCCAAAAGACATCACGGTCTAAGAAACACTGTAGATAAGCTGCAACTGGCATAAATAAGACAGCACTCTTAATCATACATAAAGAAATTAAGGCAGCAACTTACTTGCCGTCTTCATAACTTCCTCAGGAACACTCTTTTCAAATGAGTTCAACAGGAAATTGTGGTAATTAGGGGTAAGCTGCGTGCCTGCAGCTTAAACCACCAGCTGCAAAGTGCAAAGACAGCCAGCACTGGATTGGTGAGCTACAAGCAACTGCCACCTCCCCTCCTTGCGCTTTACATTTAAATCTTAAGCAGCACGTGGAGAGAAGATCTTTTAACAAAGATCTACATGAAATATGCCTGTGAGAAGGCTTGATTGCTCCTAATAA